CTAATTCGGTTTGGTTCCAACCGTTTGATTCATCTGTTTTGTTTGGTTCGGGTGGTTTGGTCTGGTTCTGTCGTTTTGTTCAAATAAGTTCGCTTGTTTGTTATGGCTGAGAAGAAATCAATCGTAACTTATTATGAGGTGATCCCAATGATATCAAAAATCATAGAACACAAGTTGAATGAAGCATGAATAGATTATTTGTCTAACAAGTTGGGCATGATTAACATATATGCACCAACTTGAGGGGGAGTGTTAGAGTATATATTAGTATATTTTATATTCTTGTATTAATATTAATTTGTCATTTACCTCCTCCTTATAGGATTAGGTCAATCTTGTATATTTGTCTATATATATAGACTTTAATAATGAGAATAGATTACATTGGATTCTCTCCAACCTTATTCTCTCCAACCTTAGTCTCTACAACATGGATAGTGATGGATGACCCAAACGACAATGTTATTCAAAAGGAGAAGGCACTCGAGTACAAACAATGGCTGTAGGTATTTGTGTATCAAATGTGTAGAGGCCATCAGATTCACGCCCTCTACCAATAGTCTTCTTCGTCATAAGATCCTGAAATAAGCAATAACCAGGAATGAATAAGACACAACAATTGAGATCACGAGTAAGTTTACTGACAGATACCAAATTAAACGAGAATTGTGGTAAATTTAAAACAGAGATCAATGAAAGAGATTTGGAAGGATGAATTGTGCCAGAGCCAATAACAGGAGAAGTGGTGTCATATGCTAGGGTAACATCAGGCAAAGATGTAGATGGGGAAAAAGTAGTAAATAAGTTAGGGTTACCTGACATATGATATGTAGCACCAAAGTCAATAACCCATTTTGACGCGGAGGAAAGAAGATATTTACTGGTATTACCTGACTCAGCGATGGCGGTAATCAGATTAGAGGACGATGCAGTCAATGACTTTTGGTAGTGTTGGAACTTAGCAAACTCTTCTGCAGGAATCGTAACTAGCTTGCTAGCATTATCAGGAGTAGATGCAACATGTGGAGACTATGTCCTCTAACTTTTATTTAATAGCTTTCTACATTCTCGCTTTGTATGACTAGGCTTATGACAATAATTGCATATAATGATGTCTCCTGAATTTGATTTTGGAGCACTAGAATTTCATCGTTCAGTGTTTGAACTCGTAGAATTCCCTTGGTAGGTGTTATCGCGGTGTGCATTTGTACGTCCGACCAAAGCACTATTGGATTGGGATGACTGGATGGGTTTTGATTTCCCAATGCAAAGTACTCAAGTGTACGCCTCCTCTAGAGATGTGATTTTTGAATCCAAATTTAGGTGGAAGATCAAGAAGAAAACTCATAACTGCTAGTTGTTCACGTTGGGCAAATCAAAATTTTACATTAGTACTATTTGGAAGTAATGCATTAAACTCCGCATAAATTCTTTTGCGCTCCATGAAGTAACTATGAAGAGATTGTTTGCCAAACTCAAGTTGGTAAAAACTCTTAAATATTTCAAATATTCGATTAACGTTGTCTTTTCCAGAATAAAGGAATTCTAAGTATTGAAGTAACTCTTTGACTGACTCACAATGGTTGACCATGTCGATAATGTCACTTTCAATCGAATTCTTGATCTGTAGAATCTGTCTAGCATCATCCTGCTGCCAAGCTTTCTGTCTCTCATCCTTAGGTGGGTCTTCGATTATGTGATCGTCCATATCAATACTGTGCAGAAAATTACAAACATTGATTCTCCCTGAAGAGTAGTTTGATCTAGTCAACTTATGTTATGTGATTTTTGATATCATCGAGATCATCTCAGATGTTACGATTGATTTCTTCTCAACGATTTGAACCAAACGATAAAACCAGACCAAACCAACTGAACAGAAGCAAACAAATCAGGTTGGTTGAGGTCAAACCGACTAGATCAAATCGGTTGAATCGGATTGTATGAACCGGACCGAACTGCCTAAAACCTTTTTTGAAACCAGAAATCCTAGCATAGCCACGCCTTCAATTAAGAAGGAAACAACGAACCACATCAATGGAAAACCAGAAACCCTAACAAAATAGAGGCGGCAACAAAGGCTCCACGACAAATGGAAAATGGTGGCTGACGGCGAAGTGCAGTGAAGGGCAGCGACAGGAAGCGAAACAGAAAACAACCGCGACAAGTCATAACCCACAATTCACGAACGAACACCACAAAT